CTCTCTCTGTAGGTTTCACTAAAACAATAACATATTTCTTCACCATGCCTCTCTAAAATGCTTCTTGTGGCCCTCTACAGTGGAAAGCATTCCATCACCCAGGTTGGGTAACTTGAACCAGGAAGCAGAGAACAATACCATTGGAACTCTGTGGTGCACAGGGATCCCGGAGTGTGGCATTCATTGTTGGAGACTCTCACAACAAGGTTACCGGTGGCCCAGGCCACTGGAGGTGATGGATTTACACTGTTCTGCAGGGGTAAAACATGCACTAGCTCCATGGGGAGGCCAGGAACACATTTCTGCACCCGCAGGAATGTGAACAGAGCAGAACCCTCACCTACCTGCTGTGCTTACACAGTGATGATCTGGGGAAATGAGAAGGTATAGGAGGTATACAAGTTGCCTCTGAAAAGAAGCAACTATTAGGAGAAATGGATTCGAGGCTTGGAGCCTCCCTCAGGTCTCGGTCATCCCTTTTCTAGTCTTCTTTCTATCCTCATGGACAGACCTGCTCGTTCCCCTTCCACACTGCCACACTGACAACTGTTTTTCCTTTTCTTCCCACATAACCTGAATCACATGATAGCTTCTATCTCTAATGCAGGCCTCCCCGCCCCCAACCATTGGCTATTCTGTTTCTGCATTAATTTCTATTTGCTCATAGAAAATGTATTATGGTTAGCATAATACTAGGCTCACAGTTGCTGGTGAGCCTAGCCATAAATGACCAACTGGTGCCGGGGAGGGGAGGAGTGGATGGAGATGACACAGTCTCCATCCACTTAAATCTTTACTGGCTTCTTGCTTCCCTTTTACATTTACTTCCCACAAAGAAAGAAAGAATACAAGACAGACAGAGACAGAGGGTGAGAGAAGAGGAGAGGAGAGGACAGAACAGAGTAAAAAAAATAAATAAATAACCCTGAGACTGCCTTGCTTTGCTTCTTTACCTTTTTTTTCAGGTGGCCTAATAAGGTGCTGTGAGCATGAGAAATTAATTAGGACCCTGAGCGTGAATTTCCTTTGATGACCTGTAACTAATTCTGCAGAGACTGAGAAATTATCTTCTCAGAAACAATAGAGAAATTCAGATGTGCTTAGTTTGGCTACAAGATGGCTAAACTAGGGATCAGATAACTTCCTGTTGTGGAGTCTGTGTGTTTATTGAACAGCCAGAGGAGTCTGGAGGAAGCAGTTCTCTAGGGGTGGTCTAAGCCACCATAATTGGGAGCAATGAAATAGAATAAAGCCACCAAAAAACCCACTTCTTCAGCATAGGAAGTGGTGGAAATCCTGGCACTTGAGTCACTGAGGAATCGGTCTCAGGCTGAGGACTCAGAACCAGGAGCTAGGAACTCTGTGAACAGTGGGGGAGTCCCACAGCACTCAAATTTCCATGATTCATGTGAAAGTGGGTAAGATTCTCCTGAAT